GACTGTGTCCTGCATCATGAATTCGTTGCTGAGGTCAACAACTCGTTCTAATCGGTCTTCGCACTGGGGCAGGACATTACCATAGACGAGTTGTTACGGAAGTTCCGTGGGTGACTAGGCTTCAAGACCTACAACCCAACCAAGAAGGCGAGGTTCGGGTTGAAGGTCTATAAGCTGTGTGCCAGTAACAACCTGGCTGCAGGGTACACTCTTGTTTCCAGGTGTACACCGGGGAGGACTGTGGCAACATGCCCTTGTCCACAAAAGCGGTGCGGCACCTGATGAAGTTTGGTGGCTTCCTTGGTAAAGGGTACCAGTTATTTCTGGATAACTGGTATATGTCGCCAAGTTTTTTTCATGCGATGCAGTCACATAGGACTAATGTGGTAGGGACAGCCTGGATGAACAGGAAGTTCATGTCCAAAGACCTCTCAGTGAGGAGGAAGGGCGATGTTGATTACCGCAGTAGTAAGATGGGCATGCTAGCCTTGATGTGGAAGGACCACAGCAATGTCACTATGCTGCTGACAGCCCACACTGCTGCAATGGATGGGTACATGCCATTGGTAATAAAATATTACAACGTCGGCATGAAAAATCTTGATGTTGGTGATCAAATTGCCAGTTTTTACCCTATGACTCGCCGCTCCAAGGTATGGCAGAGGAGAGTCTTCTTTTTCCTTTATGACATGGCCATTGCCTGGGCCGTCTGTCGTGCCCTGGGATTGGAGGGACTGGAGGAACCGCAGAAGGCCTTCCGAGTTAGCCTTGCCTCAAGGAAAGGGGCCGACTCTACAAGAAGCAGAACCATGCCAAGTCATCCTGTGCCAGTGAGGCGAGCTCTTCTTGATCGCCAACATATAGTGTTGGAGATACCCGACAGCAGGAGGAGGCACTGTTGAGTTTGTTCCAGCCAGGGACTTCGATGTAGTAGGATCTACTGCACCAACTGCAACATTGGCCTTTGTACACTTATAAATATATATATATATATATATATATATATATATATATATATATATATATATATATATATATATATATATATATATATATATATATAGATAGATAGTCCCCTACTAAAGAACATTCTACTTATGAACATTACATACATACAAACAAAATTTTTAAAGTACTAAAGTCCAAAAAATAGTTTGAAAGATGCTAGCAAACTTCAAATTTCCCAAATATAGTTTAAGAATCTGGTACTGTATAAGGTATGTCGTACTTATTGGGATTTATTTACAGGTATTCTTAACCCATTGCCGCCGGGGTAAATGAACAAAAAATGGGGGAAATGCAGTACTCATTTTTTATATTTTTGTGAAATATGTCTGTCCATAGATGGCTCTGCTAGTCCTGATTTCACCTTTCCTTGAATTGGCGGGAAAAAACATATTCTTACTAGTGCTATAAATATAGATGGTGTTATTTTTAACAGCAAATTTGGATAATGTTAAATATTTTCGTAAATCGATGAAAAGGGTGAACGGGCGAGACAGGCAGTACTGTAATTGGCGCTTTGGATACTTAGTACAAGTGTAGCCATCTATATGTATAAACAATCGAACAAGTCGACTCACAGTGGGCATGGCATGTACGTACATGCCATCCCCGGCGGCAATGGGTTAATGTAAACAAAACTTTAAAATAATGGGAAAAAAGGTAATGGAGACCCGAATTTCGACTTACAAACAAATCAATTTACAAACAGCCTCTCGGTCCCCATTATGTTCTTAAGTTGGGGACTTACTGTATATAAAAACACTGATTTCCCCTCAAAAGCATAAACTTCAATATAATCCCAAGGCTATAAAATGGGGTGTAAAACTGGAGCTCAAAATCTGATCTGGTTGCCCACAGTGAGTGGCACATGCAGTGGTCTCTGGCCGTGGCCACTTGCCGCTATATTTGAAAAGTAGGGTGCATGGCACTTCAAAGAACCCCTCACGAGTGGGTTAATCATTGTTCTTATATCCTCATCTTATCATAAAAGTGAATTAGTAAACATATAGCACAATAAAACTGGAAATAGTGCAAATACCATTGAAAATACACATATACAAAAAAAGTACAAGTAACACCATTAAACAATACTTCTATTTCCAAATCACAACATTTCAAAGAATTTGGTTATCCTTAAGGACAATTAAAGTGTCTTATCTGCATGAACACAATAATTATAAAATGGAATCTTTAAGAAATTCAGCAGTTTATAAAGGGGTAAATGTGCTATCCTTTTCCCATCTTCCCAATCCTGACAGATATCATGCAACACCATGCAAAGTGAAGTAGTAAAGCACTGGCACTAAATAGTCTAGCCTCACCTCAGCTGATCACTAGCGTCCTGCATAGGTGTATCAGGCGAACTAGCTTCTACTTCTTCCTCCCCGCCTTCAAACACGAACACCTCTGAAATACCCACATTCTTCAGCATACCTGCATCTTTATTCTCTTTTTGTGATTTTCTTGTCTTCTCTACTAATTTGTCAAGGCATCATCCAAAAGTAAATAATGGTTGAATTTTCTTACTTGGGAAAAAAAAACAAAAAAACATGATGAAAATCTACCAATAGCACATAAATTAAATTCACTTTAATTACAATATTAGCACCAACTGCTATTCTGTGAGATGTAATCTATAAATTTCAACTCCCCCGTAGAAAAAACAACAACACAGATCCAGTTAGATTTCTGTTAATAACAATCTTTTAAAAGTATTAATTCACTCACAACCACAATAGCTCTAACCTGGCTCAGCCTCTGCCTCAGCATCTGTGAGGTCACCTTCTACTCTTGCAGCACCAGCCTCTTCTGCCTCCATTCTGAGGGTGAGCTCTGTGTTGCTGGAGTGTGAGTCCTCCTCACAAGGGGAGGTAACTCCTTCACTACCCAGGCTTATGTCCACACTCCTAGAGCAAATATTTGATAATTATCTGGGGACTACTAGAAGTAGCAAGGGTGTAGTGTACTTCTAATTCAGCAGAGGATTTAAAATAGCACAAAAAGGTTTGGTAACTGGCTCTAGTTTCAAATATTTAGGGTATATATAGCAACTTAAATATCTTCAACTTCTTTTACTTACTGGTACAACTTTTTAAGCTAACTGTGTAACTTACAACCAGATGACTTACTTCAGTGTAGTTGACTGTTTCCTCACTATCTCTGCAGCTTGTTGTGCTCTTCCTAAAACTTCTTTGTAACCTCCTACACCCTCTATTAATGGTGTGACAAAGAAAGTGAGGAACTTATGCAACCCAAACCAAACTATTAGTTGCAGTAAGAAAGAGCGATGGAAGAGCTTCAGATGTTTGTCGGTGACAGTTTCAGCTTCAAACAGTTTAACAACTGGTGGTAAGAGGTGTTTGTTTGCTTCCTCTGGCCCAAGGGCTTGGGCTAGGGGACTTGTCAGGTACCAGGCAGCATTTACAGCACTCTCTGGGAATTCAAAGAGCTCTATGAGGTACGGCAGAATGAGACTCAATCCTTCAGAGGACAGACTTGGTAATATCTTTGGTAGGTCCTTGGCAGCCATCTTGACTCTAATTTCAGCAACTTTCATGATGTACTCATTCCTCTTTTGCAGATCACAACATGAAAGTTGAGCTTCACTAAGGAGTTGTGAGTACTGCCTCATCTTGCATACAAAGGCATATAATTTAGGAAAATATGAAGGGAAGACAATTACATTAATCAGAGACTGAAGAAGCTGATGAGGGCTGGGAGGAGGGAGACCATCTGAAGACACAGGCTCATATTTGTTAGGGAGAACATAGTCTCTGGTGTCCTGTGCACTGTCAATCTGAAATATAACCTGTAGTGTGTGACGAATGCATCTTGGTATGTCAATCTGATCATTTATCAATAGTTTGAGGGCATGGGCATACCTCTCTGGTAGCTTTGCCCTGTTACTCAGCACACGACATTTTGGGGCATTAAACATCTCCACAGTAATGCATCCTATGGCTTGAATGTCTCTTACACGTCTCAGGTGAGCAGCCTGCTTGACTGCTTGCTGAATGTCACGACATTTAAATGTTCTTTCAGGAATCATCCTTGAAGTCTTCAGGACTAAGTTGAACAACATTTCCACTTGATTGAGTGCCACAAGTGGATTATAGTCCTGTGGGAGTTGGATCATGGGCATTTCTGGTACTTTTTCCTCAAACAGAGAAGTTCTTGATCTGCTCAACTTCTTTGAAAGGGCCAATGATTTAATGCTCTCAGTTTCTTCATCCTGACGTTCTGGTGCAGAATCTGCTTCACTCTGCTCATCTGATTTCTCTATTTCTGAAAAAAGTGTTATTATGAACATAGTATTATGCATACTCATAATGAAAATATGGCTGCAAAAAGAATATACACTCCAAGGGAAATCTACATTAAAGAGTTAAAACTAAACAAAAAGTACACCTTTATTTTGTTACAAAACTTGTTTATTTTGTCATATCTCCAAAAGGGTATGGGCCTGATGATTTGATGTCAAAACACGAATGACAAAGCTTTGTCAAATAACATTACACTTATCCACTATTCAAATAGTCCAGGAAGCTCACTTCTTATAAGAGAGACAATCATTTCTTTTTCCTAGCCTTCATAAATATTTGATTCTTGGCATGGGTAGGCCAAGTTCCTTTTGTAAAATATACTTTATTGCCGTCACAGAAGTGTTCTTTAGAAAATTTGTCATTTTCTTCAGTGCAGAAATTGATCTGAAGAGGTTTTCTTGTTCATTTCAGCAGTACCAGGAAAGAGTCCAGCAACAGCTTTCTCAAAATTGTAGACTACCGTGAATGTAACTAATATCAGAATTGAACCTTAGTCAAGACCATAAGTTTCTCTTCAACTACAAAGATTTCTTCACAGTCATAAATATTTTCATAATTAATAATTTGAACTGTAAATCTATTGGTGTATGCACAGTACTGATGAAAGCCAAAATGAATACTGTATAATGAAAAATTTAAATTCATGAAGAGTACTTTGTCTTTATCTGTACTTTCTTGAATCGCTAAAGAGGATGATTATGAAGGAAGTACACATTTGCTTTCCTCAAGAAAACTGTGCCAACATACTAGCATAAACTTAACCCTTACAATCCAGGAGACATGACCATCATGTCATGAAAAAATTTGGGTTGAGGGGCAAAATTTGGCTGAGGGTCAGGGTGATGGGAACTAACCATCATGAGAATTATGGCTGAAGGCCGGGGTGATGGGAATGACTTGCCATGGATGCTCAAAGCTCTTGGAGGGTGATTAGACTCTGTGGGCATTTAGGAAGGGGCTTCTGCATTATCTCCATCAATGAATGAGTGTGGAATGTACCATCCGTAAGCCATGACTGGGAGTGTACCGGCTCCAGGAAGGACGCTATTTCCATGCTCATGATCCTATCCCATGTCCACTGTGAGCAGTGGCGTAGGTTGTATTATAAAAAAAAATTATATTACATAAAATAAAACAATTACACAAAGAACAAAATGCTACTTAATGTTAAAGCAAACCAAATGACAAATATAAACACAGGAAAAAGGCAAAACAGCTAAAAATGTTTATGCAGAAATAGAGAAAATAATCTAGGCTGTCAATTGTGCCTTCGGATCAGAGGAATCACAGCAGGCCTTCTAAGCTCTTGAGGGACTCAAGAGAAGGGACCAACGCAACCAGGAGCAGTCTTGTTACCACACACGTGTGTTCATGTACCCTTTTCCAGTGTTTCAACCAAGCTGTTACAAAGGAATGATCCTGGGAGCAAGAAGTTTGTCTAGTGATGTAAGGCCAACTTCCCCAGACAACACAGCTTTGAAGCGAGTCCTGGTGTCATGCCCTCGTTCACAAAAACAGTGCTTCACTTGATGTAGTTTGGTGACTTCCTTGGGAGGGGATACCAGTTATTTGTGGATAACTGGAATATGTTGACAAGTCTCTTGCATAAGTTGCAGTCACATAAGACTAGTGCTGTAGGGACAGCCCGGCAGAACAGGAAGTTGATGCCCAAGGACCTTAGTGTGTGGAGGAAAAGTGTTGTTAATTACCACAGCAGTAAGATGGGCACTGCACTGCCTGCTTGATGTGGAAGGACCGCAGCAACCTCACCAGGCTGTCAACAGTCCATACTGCAGCAATGAATGGAGATACGCCATTGGTGGTAAAAGATTAAAACATCAGCATGAAGGGTGGTGATGTTGGTGATCAGATGTCAGTTACTATCCAATGATTTGCCACTCTTTGACATGGCCATTGTCAACGTTTAGGCTGTCCATTGTGCCCTTCACAGAAGATTGGGTAATGCACGCGGGGGACCCTGCAGTGGTCACTCGCCACTCTAAATGCCACCTGGAATGTAGGATGTATGGCACTCCAAAGGAACTGTCACTAGTGAATTAACCTATTGAATCTGGTTGGGTCATGGCAATCATATCACATAAAAGTTCGGGCCTGGGTGGCAGATATGCGTGGTGACAAGACTCTATGCCTCCTATTAGCAAAGTTATTTATTCTTTTTATGCATAAGCCTTTTTAGCTTTTGTGGCCATTTTCCAATGTCCATATTTGCCATTTGATTTGCATTATCCAGATTGTAATATTTTTTTCTTTGCATAGACTCCAATCATCTCTATAGGTAGTCTACAAGTCAGTGCCAGAAAATAAAACTCTGTAACACTATATTATATATGTAATTAAATTTTTACAATGTCATTGTTCATGTTGCCAGGCATAGGATGCTAAACATGGAAATGGCATTCTCCAGTCTCTGCTCACAGACATTTCATTCCATCCTCATACATCGGGGGAATAATGCAAAATCAGCAAATGAGTAAAATAAACCTCCAATAGGTATGCGCACTTGTGGTCTTTCCCATCATCCTGGCCTTCAGCCAAAATGCTCACACGGCAGGTTTGCGTCACCCAGCCTACAGCCAGATTTTCCTGTGATAGCATGTTCACATAACCTGCGTAATTATATTATGAATAGTTACGAATTTGTGACAGTCCAAAGAACAGTTTTATACCAACATCAGAAAAAATTAAAATTACAGTGACTTTTAACATTTTCTTCAACTATCATTAACCCCTTAATGATGGGTGGTGAAGAAGAAGAAGAAGAAGAAGAAGAAGAAAACTGCACTCTGGAGATCAATGGTAGGCAACGTGCCGACTTTGAGCGCGGGAGTTTGGTATATCAAGCTGAATCACCGGCTCGTAGTGCTTTGAAGCGTTGCCGCAGTATACAGCTGCACTCCACAGATCAAGTGGTTTGTTATGACGCCTCAGGGTGCAACCAGTCGAGAAGGGGTTAAGGGGTTAATAACATGAAATATTTAGTGAGATTTTTCTTTCACAATGCAATATGTTTTCCATTTGAAACTCCTTGGAAATATGCTGTAGTTTATAAAGTGGTCAGTATGTGTACCAAGTATGAAGTATGTATGTAAAAAAAAATAGTAGAGTAAATTATGATAATAATATCTTGATTTAGCTATGGCGGTTGGTATTT